ATGTGAGTAGCAAATTGTGTATAGCCGTGTAATGAAGTATCCTCATCATTCTCATTGTATGATATAGGCCTTCGTTTATCATAAGAGATACAATATGAGTACTGGTATACTTTAAGTAGGCCTTGAGAATGTGACAAACCAACCGCTGCCAACCACACACAATACATGGAACTACAAACCATGTTACTATAAAAACACAGTGACTTGGGAAATGTTGGAAACATTGCGCAAGTAGGCCCCATGATGTTTATGATCGTGCCAAGATGGCTTATCAGCTATTTTTGGGGAAAAAAGTGCATCTCATCGCACTCGAACTTGCGACCTCTCACTGCCAAACCAAGCTTTATAATTGTTAGACCATAGAATTCCATGGTATCGCAGATGATAACAAGCCAGACTTCTTATCAAACAAAATGTTTTTTTTTTCTTATCAAGCAAATGTACCTAATATACTAAATCACATTCTGTTCAAAGTTGACGAACTTGTCAATCAATAACATATTTACATGAGTTGTCTAAAGGTTAATACTGATTTCAAACAACATACTCAATGCATTTGTATTCATGGGTTTAAATAAACAATATGATTTGTATTACCCTTTAATGTTAAGTCCCGATTGTACTCTGACACTTTTATAAAGATATAAATTTATTTTCAGTGACTATTTTAGTACTGATGGCAGTTAGGCTGTCTAGTATATAGAGAGCAGCTTAGCTCAGTCGGCTAATCTGGTGGTAGCCACTGTGTGTGCGCTGAACCGTGGAGATCTCTAGGTCCCCGGTTCAATTCCAATCGCTTTTCTCCTTGTTACATAGCGCACCGTCTTTAGGATGAGACGTTTAAGCCGTTGGTCCCGTGTGCATTTATGGCCCATGTGCAAGTTAAAGAACACAGTACTCTCTTCGGAAAAGTGTAGGGGATTGTCTCCCGGTGTACTGTCCAATCACCACCAGAAGGACCCCACTGGAAATAAGTCTTCTAGACGTTCGTGGGCTATTCTCGGTGTTTACACCGAATAAATCTAATCCAATATCCCACCCGTAATTGAGTAAATTTAGGTGTATTTTAGTGTTTATTTACATTATTCTTGGGTTTTTTTTTTTAATGATTTGTAACTATTTTTGAAGGGATGTAATATAGGTTTTCATAGGCCTAATTGTTAAATAGATTATAATACTAATTTGAAATTGTTATATCGCAAATTATATAAAAATATTGAAATCAAAATGCGCATATGACTGAAAGTATGTTTCCTTAAAAATCAACGTGCTGATGTTTGCTTTTAAAGTAAATATTTTCGAAGACTGCTTGTAATGGTATAGAGTTTCAGAGAGAACCGGTAGTAGCTGCAAATGTGAATGATCTGTTAACGAGTTTTGGAGTTTAACATTTTTATGTATTTTTTACATTTTTCTGAATTTTTCATTATGCATTTAGAAAAATACGACCAATATGTGCAAAGGTGCCGCCCGGAGTCTGATGTTCTTATTGAACACCTGTGTATTGGTATGTATATTACGTCACACTATTAGTGACGTCAATGTCATGACTGTCCACACTGCGTCATATTATTTGTGACGTCAATATCATTATTATGCTTGGACATCGTCTTCCACATCACACCAATATCATCCCGTTTTGATATAGGCCTACTGCTTATTATTATTATTATTATTATTATTATTATTATTATTATCAACAGAGCAGCAGTAGCACACATACTCAGCACACTATTATCATTAATAGCAACATTATCGTCGTCATCATCTCATCATCGTTAGCAGCTTCATTAGCAACAGCAATACTATTTTCAGCATCACATTCATTCTTTCCTTTATTAGTTCTTTCGACCCGACTATATTTAATTTCTTTAGGCCACCAGCACATAGAAAACTTTAAATTATGAAAATTAAGAGGGGCAGACGTCGACTTCCTTTTAGAAAGACAAGTATAAAAACATTAACATTCCTAAATTTCCTAAATAATAAAATTAATTTAGTTTGAAAATATTTGTTTCTATAGGCTAAAGGTATCAAAGACTCTAATCCTTATACAAGGGGTAACGCATGGCTGCATATAGCTTACATACAAAGCGTCAACTTCTTCGTTTCTGTTATTGACAATTAATTGATACGACTAAGTTCTTAATATATTGTTGACATTGATAAAGATTATGTTTAATTTTTTTTTAAACACCAATATTTGAGAAAATTTCACTTTTTTCAACCATTTGTTTGTTTGTTTGTTTGTTTGTTTTTTTGTGTATCAATAATAATGTTGGCAAATAACGTTTAATTCTTGATTAAAGCATACATATAATAGCCAAAACCGAACATAAAAAAAAATACGTGCTATGTCAAATTTATTGTATCATAACGGTTTAATATTTTATAACTCTTTAAAGCCAGGCGTCTGAGGAAAAAATGTTCGATATGTTGTACAAATTATTTTTTTCTAAGATACATTAAGTGAGATTTTTACGAAAAACTTGGGAACAGTTAGCCTGGGTTCCAGGCCCTAATTTTAGGTTACTCACTCTTTATTGCACTTAGTGCGTGCCATTCCTAATTTAATTGGCGTCCCATAGTCGATTTCTTTTTTTTCCCCCGAATTATTCTGTCTCTAAATCAAAGATCTTATAAACACAAGATAGCGTTCTTCGCGATTTACACGTAACAAATAGAAGCGTCGGTCAAGGTTCAAAAGTTTCCAATTTAGCAAGAGGGCGCCATTCATGCGCTATTATACCAAAGAGAAAAAGTAATCAGTTTTGGAAGAGGGCGTCCTATCTGTTGCCATGGATTTGAGATGGTTCCTGTTCTGCTGTTCACAGTACGGTATGGTCATAGCAGTCAAAGGTAAAAAGTTTCCAATTTAGCAAGAGGGCGCCATTCATGCCTTATTACAGAATTTGCACGCGTAAATCGCGGAGAACGCTATCTTGTGTTTATAAGATCTTTGCTCTAAATTAACTTTCTCGTTGGTGGCGTTGTCCAGAATGAGAAAAATAATAAAAAATACGAGTCTTGTGGCAAGTCTAGGGAACAGTTAATTAGATCGTATATAGCTGTCTCAGATGAGATACAGATTTTTGAATATGTATAACCTGGTGGAAAAGGGGCGCAACCATAATTTCCTGGACCCTCCATTTCCCCCACTGTTTTTTTTTTTTTTTTTTTTTGTAGTGGAGTTGAATAACTTGGTGGTTAAGATGCTTGCCTTCCCATCCCAGGGTCCTGGGTTCAATTACTGTCAGTGTTGCAGGATTTTTTCTCACGACCAAAACAATTCCACTCCCTAAATCTCATATTGAGATTTAGTTTGTGTAAAGCATCGTGCGTGTATGTTTGCCTTGTGTAAGGGATTGTCACCTACAAGTAGGACAGTGATACATTCGCTATTGACAATCCTTGGCACATGTATTGTGTGCCTAAATAAATAAATAAATAAATAAATAATAATAATAATAATAATAATAATAATAATAATAATCTAAAAATCTTTATCTCACTAGTTTTTCCCGTCAAAGACTCCTTCTGTGTCTTAGAAAAATTAGTGCACCATATAAAACAGAAATCCTTCGGAGCCTGGCTTTAAGGGCAATCTATCATCATTCATAGGGATTACCTTTAACCAATACGATCATCACCATATAAGGAGCAACAGAATCATCAGTACAATACCAACATACTGTCGTCAAAATCATTATCTTCATTATCGTCGCCATCATTTCATTATTCTATTTGTTAATATTTAAAAACAATTAAAAGGCAACATAAAATTGTTGAAAATTTTCTGAATTTACAAGACAAATGGATGCAAAATACAAATACATCAAAAGAAATAAATTTATGCCTGAACTAAAACACCAACGTTAATTAATATCACAAGAAAATTCAAATTTCGATTAAGTAAAAAACACCACAAGGCATTAAATAATACAAACAATTGTCTTTAATCGTGAACATGATCGTGGGCTCAATAGTGAGCCCGATCCCGTAGCAAAGACGATTTAAGATTCATCAATGTTTTATGTTTCTGCTGGGTGTCTTTGTTCTTGTGGTGACTGTTCTTTCTTCATTTGATTTTTTTTTTGTATGTTTGATGTTTTTAGGTTGCCAAACATTGTATATGAACTTTGTTCCTAGGCTTCTTGGCTTCTCCTCCTCCTCCTGTTATTGTTTTTGAGAAAATTAAAATATTATTATTTTAACTTGTAATTGATTTTTTTGTGCTCTCTTGAACAAAATAATAATTAAGAAATCGTGTTTTATTTTATGTTTTTTTTTACACTTTTAATTTACGTTGTTAATTTGTGATACCCTGCATGCGCTTGATAAAGGTTTTATGTTACGTTCTTGGTATTGTTTTGAATAAAGAATGATTTGTTGATAAATAATGATAATGATGATGATGATGACGGCGTTGACGTCGAGGTCGACGAAAATGATAATCAACTTATTTTACTTCAATGTGAATAAAAGTTGAATGGTTCTATTTCACAGTTGGCTGGTGCTGCCATGATCGCAGTTGGCGTGCTGGCCATCATTGAATGGCCTGAATATGAGTACATATTCAAGGGCGAAACTACAATATACAAGGTGTCTATAGTGACTGTTGTGACTGGCTCTCTCTTATTTCTTGTTGGATTTTCTGGTTGTGTGGGAGCTTGCAGGGAAAGCACGTGCTTATTGTCGTCGGTGAGTTCATTCAAAATAATTAGGAAATCTATTTCCTTCAAAAAGTATTTAAACATAAATAGGTGACAGGAGGTTTATAAATAAGAACAATAAAACAAAATTAGAAAATTAATAAAACTGTATACGAGGGCGCTTCTCTTAAAGAGAAAACAAATTAAAATGGGAAAAGTAATCAAAGGGCCCCTTGCAGTGAGTGTGCCCTGGATAACATTTAAAGAAACCGATTCTTAATTCCTGAATGGACGTTATTGGATTAAATGAGGAGAATAACATCCAATATGTATTTTGAAATTTGCTTATTAAAAACTTATATGTTTAGGCCTATCAGCTGCTACAAGCTAAAACACATAGGCCAACATACTTACACAGACAGGAACCGGGGTTGGATTCTATATAGTTCAATGGTTAAACCCCTCCATTATCTCAGTAGGCCTACCATTGTGGCTAGAGTTTACTTTGATTTTTAATAACTACAAACAATTTCAATAATAATCGACATTCAGACAAAAATAATTGTCGTCTGGTATTCCTTTAATTAAAGCCATGTAATTTAGAAGATACAGTACCTTGGTTAAACCGTGGCCTGTAGTTCATCTGATCTCAATACCTCGCTCGTTACCTCATATCTAAAATTGATTGTATATTTATTTGTCTTATGCTATGTATGATGATCAATGAATGAATGACTAAATTGCCTTTGATATGTAAATTCAACTGGAATCTCATTTTTTATCGCGATGGGTGCGTACGCTTTCCTTCTATTCGGAAAGGTCCACATTTTTAAGACAGTCAAGGATTTTGTTATTTTCTGTAATTTGAATTTAAAGCGGACCTTAAATCTTCACATTTTAACCAGTAATCTAGCATTATACCTGTATTTGGGCATTATTGTTGCCATAATAATAAACAATCGACGTTGCAAGTCCAACCTTCTTTGCCTCCAGCCCCTATTGGTAATTTTTGCACACCCACCTCCGCACCCTACTCTCCAATGGCATCCGGGATGAGGCACTTGTTTTATGCCTGCAGTAATGCAATTGTTGGAGTTGGAAGAGTATGGTTGCGCTAAGCAAGCTAAAGATTTAGTATATGAAATTTCAGAGTTTATAACAAAATTAGTGTTTTTTTTTTGTTTTTTTTTTTATTTCATGATCTAAAATTTTCATATGTTTTTCTAATTGTAGAATATCATTTTTTTTCCCAGTACATTTTTTTCACAATGCTCTTAGCCATTTTGCAAATTGCATGTGGTGTGCTGATTCTTCTCTACTCGGGTGACGTAAGTTCATACTTTAATTTTTATTTCACTCTCAATTAAAAAGGTTACATTTTGTCATTCAAAACATTCAATCAATTACCGTACTTTTTCACATATTTGTGTCACAGGCCCCCGGTTGTTCTTGCATAAATGATTTAATGATTTAAAAATTAATAATGATAATAATGATAATACTGTAATAATGATAATAATAATAATAATAATAATAATAATAATAATAATAATAATAATAGTAATAATAATAATACTAGAAATAATAATAATAATAATAATGAGTATGGCCTAGGATAGTGATGAAGAAGATAATGATGATGATAACGGCAGTGACGATGATGATGACCAGCAACCTCCGAGACAAAAGCTTGCCCTAATGGCTGCTGCACATATACTCAGAAATACATTACCTATAAAATCATAAGAAATGTAGGGCCTACTTCTCTCACTCTTGGACTCCAGAGGAGACCCGGTGTTAGAAGTAAAACTGAATACAATTAACTATAATAATATTAATAATAATAATAATAATAATAATAATAATAATGATAATAATAATAATAATAATAATAATAATGATAATGATAATAATAATAATAATAATAATAATAATAATAATAATAATAATAATAATAATAATAATAATAATAATAATAATAATAATAATGAAGATGATGATAATGGCAGTAGTGATGATGGTGATTATGATAATGATAGGCTATGTTAACGATAATATTGATAATATGCACATCTTTGGCATTTATTATGCCCGGACCAAGTTTCGGAAAGATCAAAGCATTACCGAAGTGCCGGCAAGAAAAACCCCTGTTCAAGAAGTTGGAAAAAACGGTATGGAAGAAGAAAAAAATAAATAAAACAAAAACAATGGCTTTTCTTGCTACTGCTAATAATAATTTAATAATTAAAAGTATGTTTATTACCTTTCCCTTAGGTTGAAACTAAATTAAGTGGTAAATTGACAAGTGCCTTTGGCGAGTACGATGAGGATGACGACGCAAAGAATGCTGTGGACTACATTCAGCGTAAAGTACGACATAATAATACGTTCTAGTTCAAACTGGTATTAGGGCTTCCGATTGCACGACGATGGTAGGACGTACAACGTATGACATTACATAAAGTCATCCTCGCACGCATCCTCTTAGCGTGGATTCTAGACGCAATTTGGCTGAATCTACGTTGTGCAGAGATTCCCTGCGAACGTAGGATGGCCACGCACATCATGAGCGAACCCGTTCCTAGTCTCACGTCGTCGTACAAATCGAAAGCTGCATTTGGCCATGGAATATAAGACTGGGTCAAAATACAGGATTGAGAAATCTGGATAGGCAATATGATGATATAGCATGCGTTTGGGTTATATTGTTAAAGTAGAAAGCGTCAGTAGTACAAACTTAGTTTCCTATCCAAGTATCAGTAGGACCATACGTATAATCGGTTAAATCCCTCTCTCAAATGAGCTTATTGTTGACGGCTTCCGGGATGGATGCAGGATTTGGCGGTAGGGACGTGTGAAAGTCCACATCGCATCAGCCCCTCCATGGTTGGGGCTGAGATGGGAAACTTTCAGAACTAGGCACACGGAAATGTTTCTCTTATACCTTTAAAATCTTATAGGTAATTCATATCAACAATACAACAATTACTTTTCTTAATACAGTTTAGGGGGGGGGGGGAAGGTGCAATCGCACCGTCTGCACCCCCTGTATCCACCCAAGGCTTGACGGCTGACACACGCTGGACGTGTGTTATTATGTGTGTCAGCAAACGCTCTACTGATTATTCGGTTTAGACTATTACAGCCATCACTCAGACTTTTCCTATTAAAATATCCCACGATACACATGCAAGACATTGACCATTAAAAAGAAATGAAATGCCTGTGATGTTTATATTTATTTCTTGCTAGCATGAGTGCTGTGGATTAGATGGACCTGACTACTGGAATAATAATACCTTTACAATACCACCAGATGAGGAGGCAGGTCTACCGGAAAGCTGCCAGTCAGAAGATGAAGTCCAGTATACTGAAGTAAGCACTCATAGGGCTATGATGATGATGAAGACGTCTGATAATTTTGATGATTACAATGATGATGTTGTTGTTGCTGATGCTGATGATGATAACCATGATGATGCTGATGATGACGACAACGATGATGATGATGATGATGATTGCAGTGGATTTGTATAGCTTGGTTAAGAAGCTTCCTTCCAATCCCAAAGTCTCGGTTTTAATTCTTGTCACTGTTGCAGAATTTTTTTCTCACGACCAAAAAAAAAAACTCCACTCGCTAAAC